GCTGGAAGCAAAAATATGCCTACCATAAATAAAACTTTGAATGTGATAAACTATCGAGAATCATATAGAAACGAAAAAATGTCAATTCACACTAGCTCAGAAACTCGGAAGTTTACTAACAGCACTATATTCTGGACCAAAAAGTATGTAACATAAATAAACATGAGCTGTGTGCATGGGCTGTGGTATATCCTGGAAACGACATTGTCAAAATGGCCCGGTAAAGTGCGAGCCGAACTTACGAAAAGAGGATTCCGTACCGGAAGCGAGATAAAAATGAAGTTTGATTGTATGGCAACCTCCTAAATGCTTATTTTATTCCGTTTTATTATTTGTTAATACATCAGCTATGAAATTTTATATTCTAACTATCACGTTTCGTGAGATACAGCCTGGTGAAAAGACAGTCAGACAGACAGACGGTGGGACGATGGGACGGACATCAGAGTCTAAGTAATAGGGTCCCGTTTTTTACCCTTTGGGTATGCAAGTCTAAAGCGAATCTCGTTAGGAATAATCTTCGCTAAATCATACTATTGCATTCCCATCGATAAAGTAACTAATGTCGAGGATGCGGTATACTACTATTCATATTTTGGTTTAGTCCTCCTCCTCAAGAAATCTTAAACCGCCTATTTTTCGTATGGAAATCAGAAATAGGTACGTTTAACATACTTTGCCTTCTTTTAACTTCTACTTAATTACTCGTATGTCATACTAGACTAACAAGTAAGGGCTTAAAAAATATTTTTTTATACTTTTTTAAAAATAAACATTTTTATTTTGCGATTCCTTTGTAGCAACCACATGATCCAGATATTTTATAACTACATCGTCTCTCCCAGTGTTTTATTTAAAAAATATATTGATTTAATTTTCGAAAATTTTAAATGAGATTATTTCAAACAAAAAACGTGCATCTGCGATACGATAAAATAGTCGAATTGAAATTCTTTTTATTTTTGAAATTGGTTAAAAATATACTACGATAATGTAATACTAATATCACGCAAACAAAGTTTCAGCAAAAAGCTAGTACAATATATTACCTAAATTCATTTTTGAAATAAGTAACCTAGTAGTTTTAGAGTTCAGGAAGGGGAATGGTCATATATTACTTTATTCTTTAATAACCATGAATGACGTCAACTGTTTATATTGAAATTGAGTTTATATTTTGGCCTCCGTGCTTAACATTTATTAATTACATTACACGACCGCATTTGGGTATAGAAGAAGAAATAATATAGCATCAATCCTAAACAATCAATAATTAGGAAAAGGGCAAGTTAATGATGGTGACCGTTTCTGGGTCACAGATTTATTAATAGACAATCGGTTCAGTAGTTTAGCGAATTCAGCTGTAACAAACACATAACCCAGTTATCCTATAAGGGTGTCGTTTTTCCTTTTGAGCTGTGTAAAATTGTGAATCCTAAAAATAAAGACAATGTAGTCAACGAGCAACGGCAATACTGTCAAATGATTCCTAAAACAGTTGATTGTTTTTAGAATCGTGGTGCTTGCAGCGATGACTCATAGGGCTGGCACAAATATTGGATTTGGCAACCATTTCGAACATTTAGAATACAGAAACTTTACTAGGAATTATGTAAATGTACTACGCGTATTTTAAAATATTACATATTTTTCTATTCGAATTTTTCTAGAAGAAATCATTTTATAGTGATAGATTGCAGAATGTGATATTAGTTAAATAGGGATGACGACTGGGTTAAGAAAATGCAATTCTATTTAGTCCGTCAGTCAGGTAATAGAAAAATATTAGATACGTATTTTTTTTTACTTCAATTTCACAAGAAATAACTTAGATAACAGGTATTAAAGTTGAGGAGTGGGGGCTCGCTACGTCACAGTTCAGTAGAAAACGTACCATAAACTGACGTCATGCGAAATTTCAACTCCATGTAACGCCGTAATTTTATGGTTACGAAAAAAATAAAAAGGTACGTGTTTAATATTTTTTAACACTCTACCTGACGGATAAACAAACAAAAATTAGTCATCATCCTTATTATTTTTGTTTTTTATTTGTCTGTATTTTGGTGTTTATGTAAATGTATATTGTAGATAGTCTTATCTTTAAAATCCAAGTAGCTACTTATTTACCTATGTATATAAACGGTAATTCGGAAACAGAAACGGAAACCAAAACTTATTAAAACATTTTTTATGTTTTGTTTTCTGAGTGTTATCATAATAGAATATAAATTACAGAACGTAATTATCATTAATAATGTTTTCCAGGATAGTATTGTGAATGCAAAATTAATCAAATATAATATTAAGAAAATTTTTTAAAGCATGAAACAAAAACCTTTTTATAAAATATAACCGCCTTCAAACTTTTATATAAAGTGTAAAAAGTGATAAATAATACTTATCTTAGAAGCTACATAGGATTATTTAAGAAACTGCTGTCACTTAATCAATAGTAATATTATTATTTAACACTTTTTAAAAGTTTGAAGTCGGCTTTCTTTTTGAAAGAAGTTTTTATCTACACTAATATTAAAAAGAGGAAAACTTCGTTTGTTTAATTGTAATGAATTGGCTCCAATACAACAAGACCGATTTTAAAAATTCTTTCACCATTCGAAAGCTACATTACACGAGTAAAATAGGCTATAATTTAATTTGGAAAAAATAGGGTTCCGTAAGATATTTGGGTTTTTCGAACACAAGATGTAAAAAATCAACCAGAAAAGTTACTTATTTTGCGTACGCTGCCTTAACTATTAAAGATAGAACCATAAAATGTTCTAATTAATTGTAGATCTTATAAATATCTACAAAAACCTATCTATGTCGAGTGAGGCACAACAACCATTTTTTATTTGAAAATCTTGTATTTTTTTTTTACTACATTTAAACTCGTTTTTTTACTCATGCTATTAATCCTTATCAGAATAAATTATTTCATCACAAAGTGCAGTATGTAGATAATATTTGGTCTTTGAATTATTAAAAAGGTTTTGAAGTTATGGCGAAATTAAAATATTACGATTTCAGAGTGGTAAGTGTAAGTTTTACGCTAACGCGTTCACTAGTGAGCGCGTTAAGAATTTGTATGGAGATTTATACTTCTTGGTACTTACCGCTAGAGGCGCTGTACCGGATTCTATACTAAAATCTTAACGCGCTCACGATCGACAGCGAACGTAAACATCAAAATAACTTACACTAAGCATTCTGCTGCACGGCCCGTTGCGAGGTGAGCGTCACCAAGGCGGGGGTACGAGTGCGAGAGGGGAGTTTAGATCTATGAGTAATGTACCAGCGGACCACGCGGGCGAAGTCCCTGGCGGGAAGCTAGTTATTTTGATAAAACGTTTGAAATATGGATTTAAATTTTGTATGGAAGTTCGTAAATGATGAATATAAAACATTTAAGTATGAATATTATGTGTTCTAGCGTTTTTAGATATGTTCCCATAAATATTATCTATAAATATATATATTGGATTATCTCCAATGCATCATTGCCTTGGTAAAAAATAAATAATTCTGTTTAGTTCGTCAGTCAGATTTCAAAATAAATTTTGTTTCAATTTATAAAGAAATGGCTTAAATAATAAGCATTAAAGTATAGGAATGGGGGCTCGCTGCGTCAAAGCTATGTAGGAAATGTGCAAAGATGTAGAAAAAAAGAGATAAAAAATACATGTTTACTTTTCTTTAATAATCTCAATAATAACAATCCTCTTTATTTCGTTTTTAATTTTTAATAATTAATAATAAAATATGGAAAAGTAAATAAAGAAGTCAAAGATAAAAAAATATTATACACAGTATATTTTTATATTGTATTTATACGTAAAATAACAATTTAAATTAGTATTCTCTATTAAATATAGTAATATTTTTATGAGATAACTCATCACATCAGTTATTATTACTTAGAATACCTGAGTATGCTGTAAGTACTGTGAAAATCTTAACTTATACTTAATTAAGTAAGTAAGCCTTTTAAATTTATACAAAAATTAAGAAAAAAATTAACATTGATGAACATATGAGCATATATTCATCAATGTTTAGGCGAAGCGAAAAGTAACAAGTGCTTGAAAAATTCGTTAGTCCTGTTAGGTCTCGGGTAGCTTAGTGGTTACAGGCGCCCGGATAGTAAAAGATCATAGATTCGAATCCCATCACGGGGTATCGGGGACTAATGGATTTTTTAAGCATTTTTAGTTAGTAACATTTACAAGTATAGTGTTATGAATGCAAAATTGATAAAATTTTATAATTACACTAATTTGTTCATAATATAAAAAATATATTTCTTTTTGTGAAAAAACATATAAAATAACAAAATTAAAATACATCTTAAAAATATATTGTTCTATACAATATAAAATTTTATTATAAGCCAGAATGAACATAGATTTTTATTTAAAATAATACATTTCTTATATAAGTAATATATCTTTTTGATTTTTAGTTAAATAAAAAAAATTTATATCATATATATTTTAGCGACAAGTAAACTATTTCAAGAGTTATTTTTTTTTATTGTAATGCAATAATATAATTACAAATGCTTATAATGTCGAATTTGTTTAACAGAAATGAAATATTTCTTAGGTAAAGTCTGGTTTTCAAAAAAAAGAAACCAGTCTCCACCAAAGCAATATTACATAGATAACTTCTTCTATTAATGCATTAGATAGCTTTAATTACCTATCGTATTACATTATCTATGTTACTAGTCGATGACCAATTAGTAAAAAATTGCCCAAACGCTCCAAAATTTATTAGAAATAGTTTGTATCATTATTTATAAGTCCTATTTTTTTCTCTTACCTTTTTATATCATCCGAGTATGATGTAGCAACCCAAAAGTAAAAGAATTTTTATAATCGCTGCAGTAGTTTCAGAGCCCTTTCGATGCAAAAATTTATAGATACCTTATACGCAAGAGTTTAGGTTTTATTATTCGTATTAACTTTGTAAGGTTTTTTAATTATCATCATCTTTTAGCCTTCATTGTCTCCATCGTCACCGACCCTGAGTTGCTCATCATAATAACACATATGAATTTTAACTTCGGTTGACTTGTTTGATTGTAATATCTTTACTATTTCTTTTTTAATGGACTTGTCTTCTGAAGTGTAACCCATGTACCGAATAGCTTCAATCACAACACAATAAAGAGTGGTCAGATTTTTGTCATTCAACAAAGATTTCAGAAACATTAATTTGCTTTTCTCATTGAAACCCAAATTTAAGCATAAAGTCATTAGCTCTGCTTGGACAACATTATTTAAGGCTGGATATTGATTGAAGAAAGTGTCTTTTTGCAAATGATTTTTACATGCATCACCAAACGATGGAGCGATATCCAGACAAATTTTGTCCCACGCCTCCCGGGTCATTTCATCTTTATTTCCTTTTTGTGAATATATCTCTGCATTTTCTTTTACATATAAATCAAGTTTTTCTATAAACAATGTAGCTGTATTCCACTTCAGCAATATTTCATAGTTTTCATCGGTTACTAATGAATTTTTAAGCACTAATTGTATTGCTTTATACAATTTAACGGGAGCAATATTATTTTTCATAGCCATTTCTGTTAAGGAATTGGTTATGGTATCTAGTAATTGTTTGCTTCTTACTCTTACGTAATATTTACCTTTGTGATTAATTTTCCAAGATGAAACAGCTTTCTGCAAAATAGGTAACAACAATTTTTCATATCTCGTTATTTGTACATCTTCAGATTTACAAGAAAGAATATATGTAGCTAATATTTGAAAATAATCACAAATATCTGAATTCTGTGTGGTAAAGAATTTCTCTTCAAAAGATGCCAGAAAAACATCTTCAACGAAGCTGGGTTCTAAGAGGTCAATTAATTGATTGACGTCAGCAAATAATCTGTTGATAATTTTATCACAATTTGCCTTTGCTGGAAGCGATTTCAAATATAAGTAACCTTTTGTGAAAAATAATGGTCTCACTGTAATAGGAACATCTGAAAATTTCGTAAATGTATCATATATGATCCTGTTTTCTTCACGTGACAGACTTTCAATATATATATTCAGCAGCTGCCAAATATCTTTGATAGTGGCTTCATTTTTTTCTTTGCAAAGGAGCTCGAAAGTTCGTTGGAATAAAATTGTTTTAATTGAGGCATTCTTAGTGTTCTTCCATATGTTAATAATAATATCCTTAATTTCACTATATTTCAATTTAAGAAACATGGTACTAATGCCGTGTTTTTGTAAAGACACGGGTGTATTTAGCAATTTTGTGATATATTTTAAAGTCGAATTAGAGCTTACATTATACAAAATGGCATTGAGAGAAGGCAGGGAGTGATATAAATAATCCCCTTTTGCATACAATAACACTGTATCTATAGAAACAGATGGACGAACCAAGTACATGTTTCTGGCGATATAATTCTTCAAGATCAATCCTAAATCGCTGGCATTATTCCAATTAATTTTAGTTTCAAAAGGAGCATTTTTTTCGATCAGAGGAAGAATTTGATGGCGTGGCATAAGAATACAAACATATTTAACAGCCATTTTTCCTTTAGGTTGTTCTATTCGTTCCAGGTAATAATTAGTCCATTGCTTACCAATTGATTCGGACCAGTAAATTCTCATCTTTCTTAAAGTTCGCTCCATAGAAATAGCATCCCTTGAATACATAATGTCTATTTCATTTTGATAGCGTGAAAGTAGACCTGGATCATGTTTTAAGGCATTTAAGCACGCTTCGTCACTTGGATGGAGTATAAGAGATTCTTCAAACACGTGTTTTCGCCAACGCTTCAGCAAATGATAAAAATCCGTTGAATCAATCTCCCACGAATTTTGTTGTTTTATTTTAATAGATTCTTTGATTTTATTTACAAGGAAAGGGTAGTCCGCGAGGTTTTTTTTCCAATCTGATAATAATTCTAACATGTTTTTAATTGCATCTATATATTGTGCCATTTCATATTCATTAGTGATTTTCTGATTTACCAGTGTTTCCACGAGATAATTATAAAGATAATTGAATATTTTGCTCTGCTCATTTTCATTTAATTTTTTAAGATATTTTCGAAGAGTGTTAAATGTAAATTTCTTTATTATAACATCTGGAATATCTAGGTTATGAAGAATTTTATAAACAATTATTGCTTCAATACAAAATGGAGCATCGTTTTCAGATTCCATGTAAATTTCCATACTTGAGAATATATTATTTAGTATATCCCAGGTTTCGACATCAAACTCGTGAGATTTAGTATGCGATAAAAATGAATTAACAAATTGAACTTTGAATTTGAAAGGTTCATTTATATGATTATTTCTATAATATTCAAGCAATGTTTTAAGGTGTTCTTTCTTTGATCTAGCACATTTTATTAGTACAGTAAAAATAGCGTTCCTTTCAGCTGGTAGTGGTTCAGCACGTATGAGTTTTTTTAATTCTATCATTGCTGTATGAAAAGGAGCATACTGATACCATTGATAAATATGTGCGTTAGTGGAAGCTGGTGCTCTTTTGGCAGCTGGTGCCCTTTTGGCAGCTGGTGCACTTTTTTTGCGTATCAGTGACCTTTTTGTAGTTACGCACGTCTTAACTTCCCCAGTATCAGGACCACCTTTAAACTTCTCGCTTTCTGTATTAACTTTATTCATAAACAGAGATTTGACAAACTCAATTCTCGTGTGTTTAGGAATACGTGTTAAAAAATATCTTACATTTTCGAATTTGAACCAGTATTTTAAGTCTACATTCTGTTTTTGGTTCACTAAAAATGTTTTTATATCTTCGGATTTTAAGTTTTTTGCAAATGTTGGTATGTGAAGAACTTGGCAATACTTATCAAATTTGTCAATGATTCTTTCACGACATTTATCCATTACCATTTGTGTAGCATTCTTATTAAACTTGGGCTTATAATATTGATGAACAGAGTCTATTATATCCAAGTATTCATCGCAGTCACTTTTCAAATATTTTTTTGTTTTACTCAATACCTCTCGTTTATGATATCTGTTGCATTCTTTGCAATAAATTTTGAGAATTTTTAACGATTTCCTACACAAACATATAATTAATTCGATACTAAAAAGTTCGTGAGAATTTTGTATATTTTCTTCTATTAAAGCAATTGGGCAGTACCGCAACCATTTCATAGAAATCTCGGGGTTATCTTTGTAAAAGTTAAAGAATTCCGCAACTCGGTTCTCATCCTTCAAGTTTTGTTTTATTGAGAACAGTAGTTTAGATTTCGCTTTAGCTGTCATGGAAGGGAACAGCGTCTGTTCGAGGTATGCTGGATTGATAATGTGAGCGTATTGAACGTCGGTGATGAGCCATGTGCTGCGTTTAATAGCTCGAGTCACATAAAGTAAGTCGTCACTTTTCATTACTTCTAGAATATATGGCACGTCTCTTCTGCCGCAGGCGACATCAATCCTAAGAAGGTTGCAAGGATCGGGATCGGTGTAATTTAATGGATCTAAGTTCCAGGTTTCATCATCAATCGCTGCCTTAACCAAATTGTTTAAGTGTCGATGTTTTTGACCCAAAGTTTCCCCTTCTAGGTGAAACGGCACCATTATGAGCTCTGAAAGAAAGATTTTCATTTAGTCAAAGTAACCGTTAGAGCCTTTATAAATGTCGAAATTATTGTTTTTAATTTTGACAATTATTAAAATATTTATATGAATGCCGTTAGATTAATTCGAATAATAAAAAGCTGATATTTTGTATAGTGAAGATACAGAAAATTGTAGCGATCATGTCTATAGCCAAGCATAGTACACTGGTTTCAAGATATCGCAATCTCTGAAGTCTAGGTTTAGATTGCCGGTCGGATCTATGTAGAAAATGAACTTTTCTGTATTGTCTTGACTCTTGGTGTTATGACACCTTTGTTGTTTCAGATACTCCATAATACAAGGGTTTTAACTTTAAATCTTGAATTCTGAGCAATATATTTCATTAAATATAATGCAATGTATTGTCGTTTAATATTTTAAATAATTATTCCACGGTATTGTTCTAATCTGTGGTTCTAATAGTAATTCAATTATTGTTTTGTAACGATTTAATTAAGTTAAATATTTTTAAGCCCCTCACTAAATATTCATTCGAAAAAATTCACACATGGTTTTAGAAGAATGGCGTATTAATTGACTTTCAGAAAAATGGCGAGTTTAGTTTACAAAGATCCATTTTATTCGTGCCATCTCTTAGATAATGTAATTAGCCGATACAAATAAAAAATGTGTTAAAATATTCAAAATAACTCTTGATATTTTCCATTCTAAAATAAATTATGTAGATAGTGTAAAAATAAAATGAGTATACTTATATTCGAAGACATACGTATACCACCTTATACTAACTAATTATTCAAAAATCAATGACTAGTTTAAGTAACTATCGCAAAAAATATTATTAAATTATTTTCTGAATTGGGAGCCGACTTTTACTTTAAAGATAAAATACAAGTATATAATAACTAGGTTTTACATATTATTACATAATAATGATGAGCAGTAATTGTAGCCTGTAGCTTTTTATTGGCAAGGGACTTTCTAAAATTGGTTCAGAAGTAACTTATTTTTTGATTCTATCAATTTTAGAAAATAATGACGTTGTCTTATGAAAGATTGAAATTGGACAAATATCCTTACCTTACGAATAAATTTGGACGGATTCAAGCACCGACCAGCAGGCAAAATTGCACAAACAGAATTATCATTTATAAAAGACTATGAGACACAATGACTTAAAGTCCACTGAAATAGAAAGCATCGGCTTTCAATAGAAAAAACGGGATGAAAAACATATATGAAGTTAGTTACTGGAGTGAAGTTTGTTTGCGCGATGATAATACAGACCATCCGATCCGACCCCAAAAGTATATTAAATATGTTCTGTAAAACATTTCGATACAAAGTAATATGTTCATCAATAAAAAATAAAAAGTCAGCTTTTTTCCTGCGACTTCGCCCGCGAAAATTATAGCCTTTGTCACGCACTTATGATGCAGCTTACGTAAAAGAATATTCATGAATGGATCAGTATTTCCGAAAATTACCCATTACAAACAAACAAAGTTAAAGTTTTTACCTCTTTTAATAGTTATCTATACTAATAATAGAGCTTTATTTGTTTGATTGAACTCTTAAATCTCAGGAACCAATGTTACGAAATGAATTATTAAAAATGTGTTGAATAGTCCACTTTTCAACGAAGGCTATAGGCTATATAATATCACGCTATGACTTATAGGAGTGGAGCAGCAATAAAAAATATTACCAAATCGAAAGAGTATTTAATATTTTAAAGATTTCAATGCGTGCGCTACGTAAACAGTGAAAATTATGTATTACGAAATTTAACCTCTTTAAAAGTACTAAAATAAAAGTCTATGGCAGCATATGTCCCATATCTTATATGTTATACCGAAAAAAGCACACAAACGGTCAGGTGCGCAAACTTCCATTAAGGTTTAATGACGCCTTTAAGCTCTAATGAATGTCAAATTTGTATGGGTAATGTTGTTATAAACTAATGACAGTTTTAATAGACGTTTGTGCATCTGGCTGAAAGGAATAGGGCATTAAATCGTTACTATAGTAACCATTGTTTACAATTCAATTTGTCATTTTAATTATATTCCATATCATCCTTTTCCAAATCCATTATTAAATGATTTAAGCTGTTTACGCAGGAGTGTACAATGTTTTGAATAATTTTAATCGGTACAATTTGTCGCTACTATTAAATGCATAATTTATATCAGTTAAGCACACGATAATGTTACATTTAGCTGTCTCTACTAAGCACTAGCTGAAGCTACTATACTTTTAAAAAAGGATTTTGATTTTTGTTATGTCTGTAGTCTTTATTTTTCCAATTTTTATCAAACAAAGTAGCTTTCGTTTTTATTTTTGCGATATTTATGATAACATAATTTAATGGGCAGTTGTTAATCTAGGGAAATAATCAAATGCTACAATTAACTGTTCGCTAGATGACGCTGCTGCGTTTTTAAAACTGGTGTGTTTGTTTGTTTGATTTAGAATTGTATGTAACAAAAAAGATATTTGTAGTTTTAACACAAGATTTCCCAATTAATTTATTAGAACCAACCATATTAGAAACTTATATGTGACGTCAATTAAGATATTAATTAGTAACACACCGGATAAACTAAAATTGTTGCCACAAAAATTATATAAATCACGTTTGAAAACGTGATTAGTTGATAATGTTTTTATTCAGTAAACGAGTTTTTAAATAAATATTTATTTTATTTGTTTTTTACTACATCATCTATGAAAATCTCAATTGTCTAGAGATTACAGCCTGGTAACAGCAAAAACTCATGTTAGTTGTAAGGAAGACGCCTTAAATATTTATTTTGTTGTATTGTTGTTGAAGCGGCAACAGAAATACATCATCTGTGGAAAATTCAAATGTCTAATTTTCACGGTCCATGAGGTACACCTTGGTGACAGACAGACAGGCAGCGAAGTAATAGGTTTGTCGTTTTACTCTTTGGGTACGGAACCGAAAAAATCAAAGATACTGCCGAAAGTCACTATTTCACGCGGACAATGTCGTACAGCAGTACAGGTTTTTAATAGATATATTACGGCACTACTAGTATAGATTTATTTCGTGAAAATTTGCAGTATTGTGTGTTTTGGGTATTACATTTTAATAGAATAAAAACAAAAAAATTTTGGACAGCTAAGGAAAATCTCTAAAAATAAAAAATTGCTAGAAGCTATGTGCTTTATACCTTAATCTTAAATATTTTTTCGTAGGTATTATGATCGCAATCTGGGGGCAATGTTATTAAAGAAATCTATATAAATAAGGAAAATATTTTTTTTTTTTATATTTTATGTAACCTTTGTTTTATAATACGTATAGTATACTTAGAACAAATAATCTAAATGACGGGCTTAATATGTAATAAGAAATCTTATTATATATCAAGCCCCACCCCACGCGTTTGCTTCATATATTTAGTGTGGGAACGATTATATTAACTCTAGCATCTCGAACTATTTTTAACGATCTGTTTTTAAATAAACGTTTTTAATTATTTTGACATAGAAACCAATGAACGTCCTTCTCTTCGATTTTGAAGTCGGTTAAAACCTAATAGATTACTTCTTACCCATGGCGGAATGCGGCTTGGGCTAAATATAAGTGCTGTTGGCTGTATAAATGTTGTAGCAATAGACAATAAATTATTAAAATATTATAGCAAAGCTATTCGATCCGATAAGTCGGTCAGATAAAATCGCACGGTTTGAAGGTGCATTGAACGAATGAACATTGAAAGATGCAATAAATACTTTTCTTTGGAAATGACCTTGGACTAAAATACAACAACAGCTTCACGAACTAATTTATAGACTAACGTAGATTTAAACTGCATAATACATACACATAGAACACTGCAGATGCCATTAGGTATCATAACATTTCATGTTCCAAAATAGTAGTTGCTAGCAACTGTCTGCAGTAGCTCGGTGGCGTGGTGGATAAGCGCCGCGGCTCACGATCGTTGTTATGAACCAACTTTCTTAAGAGTCAGTCAAGGGATGGGTGACCACAAAAAAATTTTCTCGAGCAACTACGTGTTTCGGAAGATACGTTAAGCCGCTGGGACGTAAAAATGGCTGATGATTATATCTGGATCAAGATTATTCAGGGGGTTGGGTTTAAAGTAAATCATTTGCTATTTCATTTTTACTATTCTCGTTTTTTTTTATTCTCTATGGCTTCGCACGTATTGTTCGCAAGTTTGTACATATAGCCAGTGTCAAGTAAATAATTTGTATCAAGTTTTGCCCAAATAGAGCACGAAGTGTTTCAATTAAGTCATGGTCCATCCGTCAGTCATTTCAAGAGCTCAGGTTTTGTGGTGGAACAATACCAAAACCATGTCAAGCGGAGTATGGAGCAACACAAGATATCACAACAACGGAATTGAGTTCCACCTTCCCTACAATAGTGCACTTTCACTACACTAAATTGAATAAAACTCCACTACAATTATGCAATTTATATGCATTTAATGCAATATAAACACAATTTTTCTAAACATGGAACCCGAACTACAAGCTGCGTTACCAAAATCCCGCCATTACTCCCTATTCTCGTTTTTAGTTGACTGTCTCACGAAACTGTCATATGAAACGAGGTTGAATTAGATCTACCCCAGCAGACCTATTCTGCTTTAAAAACATCATTGAACTCAAGGTCTAGCATAGCAATCTAATAGCATATAAGTATTTAAAAAGGTAACAATGCTTTTATTAGATTGAGTTTTCATGCCGCGACAGCGTTGAGATCCGCGTCGAGCTTGCGGTTGTTTTATTAGCAGAGCGCTTTGTGTAAGTTTTTTTGACGTTTACATTCACCGTCAATTGTGAGCGCGTTAAGATTTTAGTATGAAATCCGGTGCACCGCCCCTAGTGGTAACAACCAAGAACTACGAATGTCCATACAAATTCTTAACGCGCTCACTAGTGAACGCGTTAACGTAAAAATTAAACAATTACCTACCACTCAGATTAGCATTTCAGCTTCTCTAAGAAGTCTATCAGTTTTTACGAATATACCTGTCTCGTTTTATTGTATGGTTTTAATTATTTTAGTAATAAATTGGTAAAATAAAATATTTGACGACATCACATACGTTGCTCAAATTCCAAGACCCGCGATAATATAGAAACGTCCTTTTGCTACATTGACCCGACCGGGAATCGAATCCGGACCTCAGAGATGGCGACCCCTTGAAACTGGGGTGTGACCCACTCTGTTACGGAAATCTATGTTTTCCTAGCTAAAAGAATAATTAAAATATTGACTTTGGTAGTGTTGGACAATGTGGGTAAAAGTAAAGATTGGAAAAATGTTTTATGTAATTCGAGTTATTGGTCGTGCTGAAGTGTTTACTAGTGTAATAGTGTTGACATATTGTTACCAAGGTAACTCACGAATATAGAGCCTGTTGTAATGAATCGGCAATTTTGTGCGTAATAAGATTTGCTGTATTGGGTACAGTTGTGGGTTGGTCGGTGGTTATAATCTATACCTACCTATGTATAAAAGCAACGAAACCAACCAACTTCACACTTTAAAAAAGTGATAAAACAATATTATCTTAATTAATTAAATGATTGGTCTTGAATTGAAATAACTATTTATTACTTCTTTTAAGTTCGAAGTTGGTTCTAGGTATTTTTGTTTTTTAAATTTTATTTCATGCTTTTTAGTGATATTGTTTTTTTTTTACAATAAAGGTAATACTAAAACTATTAAATATCTATCTAAATAAAAATTCAACAAAGTGAGTCTTAAAAAAGGAGATTTTGTTTATTTGCTCCACACATTTTTTTTCTAATCATCTATAATCATATTAAAAAGAGGAAAGTTTTGATTGCTTGTTTGTTTGCTATAGATAGGCCCCGAAACTATTGGACCGATTTATAAAAGTCTTTCATCTACGGGAAGCTTCATATTAGGAAATAGGCTATATACAGCTAGTTTAAATAAGTTCACAATTCAAGAAGAAATAGATTAACATACCTACCCTATTATAAATACTTTACTCTTTGATACCTCCTATTAGTGACTTTCATTAAAAAAATATATACATCAAAAAGTACAATACACATACTCGTTACATAAAGAAAATTCTTTTTTCAGATTTTAAATACGCTATCTTTTATTTTTTAGTTGAAATGGGCCATTTTACAACATATCATCTTAATATTTAGGATATCTGTTGAAAAGGGTATTTTTTTATAAAAGGAAAACTACTTATTCGATTTCGATAAAATTTTCAAAATGCATCGCCATCGAATATATAACCTCCTCCTTTTGGGTTTTGAAGTCGGTTAAAAAGGTCACTCACTCACTCATTCATCACGAAATGTCAGAAATTACAAGTGCTAGGAGTTAATATTTTGCATGAGGGTATTTTTATAGTCATTACGTCTATATGTCAGCACGCACCACGCACCGGTAGAACGAAACGCATTGGATTACATTAATAATTCCTATGACGTCATCAGCATAATTGCCAAGTCAATATTGCAATAAAGTATCTTTGAAAAATGCGACTGCAGTGAAAGTTTGACATCGAAAAGCGTAGTGTAAGTTGCATAGGGATTATTTTTAAGATGTAGATGTAAATTAAGACGGGATTTGTAGGAATAAATTGTGATACCTAAACAATAGTGTTCTTATCTTCAAAACAACGCGAACAAAGTCGCGGTTAACTACTAGTAGATAATCTTGGTGTACAGGGCCAGATCGAAGCCCTGAATCTCTAATTTATGAATTTGACTCACTCATTAATTTTAAGTTTTAAGTAAGATTTTTCGATTATTTCTCACATTAGTATCGATTTGTTATAAAATGAACTATCATAAGTAAAATATACTGGCCACACTAATTTCAGTTAATATATTTTTTGTCATGGTAACATTCGCCCCTTCCATTGCATAAATCTAAACTGTAAGCATTGCTGTGCGAGTCAAAATTGTAATAAAATTGTAGATTCTACAAAATTGCCCGCTTTTCATTTATACAAAGGTCAAATTACAGATACATGTGAAATTTCATTAAAATTGGTTCAGTAGTATCCGATTTAAATATAATATCAGACATTCTTACATCGTGACAACATCAATTTCAAAATGGAATGAAATTAATATAAATAATTTATACATTAAAAGCTGTCTACCAAAATCGAACCAAAAGTCCACCTTTCCAGGACCGTTTCATTCCGTGGAACATTTGTAATCTAAGAGATCTCCAGACTGCAATAATTTAACGATCTTGGATCTTGTTTAACGAAGTCGTATACAACTTGTTTCTTTTTATTTTAGTTGTAATTTACTAATGCATGCTATTAACGTACGTATTTAAGGTTGAAGCTAACCCAAAAAGCTATACTTGGTATAGTCATTGCGATTAAAAATAAATAGCGTTCAGATGAAATAAATTAAAAAAAAAAACTAATTCGCCGTTTTTGGTGCTATAGCACTTTGATCTTTCCAACGACAAAATAGTATGAGGATAACATCTGTTTTTTTTTTTCAAAATTAAAGCTTTCGTGTGGAGTGATAGAGTAGGTGATAGTGTGGGTAGTAATGACATAATCAAATGAGGTATATGTACTAATTAATTCGAATTCACGGAACAGGGATACATTCATTCTTAGATAATTTATTTAGGTTAAATATTAGAACGATTATATTAGTCTATGACTCAGATTTTCCTGTAGTACAGTCAACAGCACCTCAAATATACAGTTGTATGTACATATAAGTAGAGAAATATTGCCTGTGAAGCAATGGTGGTTCGGGTCTACTTTCGATATACTTTAGTTAAATATCAATACAATATTATGTTTTCATTTCATGTTCAAATGCAGATAAAGTAATGTGGAGCTTATACATGCAAAGTAACCGATTTAATGATATAAACTTTGGAGTGTACCTATATAATGGGCACTTAGGTAATAAGACAGAAAATTTCGATCAAAAAGTAAACATTAAGTAAAAAATTTAGTAAGTTAAAATAAAAAACATCGAAATTACATAAAAAAAATTATATAACATTACACAAACACAGATTCCAGGATAATTAGTTGAAGCGCTCTTATTGTGAAGTACCTATCTGGAACAACGAATGTATCATATCATTCAAATCCAAAAGAATATAGAAATATTAATTTTCTATATTGATCCGACTGGGAATTGAACCTGAGGTCTTAGAGATAACACCTTGCAGATAACACAGAGGCCGATAGTTAGAACTGTGTATCTATAAACAAGTAATTGTTTTTAATTAATAACTTATACTAGTAGTTGCTAATTAAGAAAATATTTAATGAACTTATCATAATATTTTATAATGTAAAAACTGAAATTAGTTACTTGATGTTGTTTAAACTCTCATGGTCATTAACATCAAAACGATTGCTAAAACGGGTTTCTACCCATTATATTTCTCGAGTTCCCGATAGTTCGGCGAAGTTACTCCATGATTATGGCGCTTGCAACTTACAGTAATATCAGGAACTCGTGAAATATAAGGTACATGGTAGCACTCCCGTTTTTATTAATTATTCTTAGTTACTTTAGTAAAAGAACAAGTAATGTTTAATATTTATATTTATTGTAGACAAGCGACAATGGCATTGTAATTTTTTAGAATTATTTATATTCTAAGCCTAACATATGACGATCGCTAAGTCAGCATCGACACCAATCAACTTTGTTCCTTTTTAACATATTCCCTAAGTAAATAAGATTATCTAAATAATACACTTTGTCTAGTTCGAAAAGTCGTTGTTTTAGACTTTCATAATACAAAAGATACAGAATTTGGAATATGAATCAACAAAATTTTCAAATATTGTTTAGGAAGATTATAATGAAGGATTTTGTAAAATTATCAATGATGAATAAGTCACTTCTTATTTTTATTTAAAAAAATCCTTTGTAGTTTGCTTTTTCCTTTGCAGCTTCGTTAATACCATTAAACCTAACATCAATACACTAAAGTTTTACATGCCATTTATAGCTCTATACTAATATTATATTATAAAGGTGTAAAGTTTCTGAATATGTTTTTTGTAGCAGTCAATCTTCGAAAATACTAATCATGAAAATCCTTTCACCTATTGAAGCTAAATCTTACCCGGAAATAGGCTATAATTTACACTTGATAAGTCGCGGGAAAAGCTAATATTAAAATAAATAAATACCTATTAACACGACATACATTACTAAGATTTCAAGATGCTAAAACACTTGTATAATAGAAATGTGTAACAGTGTAACAATCAAAACACTCGGGTTTGAGACCATTTAGAAGAGCTTACTACATTAACCCGACCGGGAATCGAACTTATTACAACTGATATGGTGAACCGGCAACCATGGCATAGTTATTTATATAGCTTTGTAAATCAAAAGTTGTTTATATACTAACATTCCAAGAAAGAGCGCACTTCCATATAAAGTAGTGGTTTTTACGTCCCCAAAAAAAAAGTTACGTCACTTTTTTCAACTAATAACATCGGTAGGTGTGTACCATATTGTATCTACGCACATAAAAGTATATGTTCAGATCCTCTGATAAAAATAGAAATGATAACAATGAAATATGTTAATCAATCATGCTGTTTAAGGTAACAAGAGCAAAAATTTAAATTTTTAACCAATATATCACATAAAATGCACATTTAATAAAAATTATACGAACATTGGGAATTCATATAGCAACAGATTCATTAATAAATAAAAATATTAAATCGGAATTCGTGGTATACGGCAGTTAAGCGTAGGCGATCAACCACTATAAGGACTCAGTAAAGCCTTAAGAATTGTTTTCCTCTTCGCAAACATACATACGAACAGACGTAAGTGTAGTTGTGTTACTTTTTTAATTTTAAGAACAATAATATATTCCGTTAAAGAGCCAGTGTTAGTAACTATGAAGTGGTGATATCTTGGAGTTAATTTTCTAATTGTTTTGTGTTTGGGTTTTATTAATTTATATAGTAAAAGGATATAAGTGTAAAATTTAAATTTTTAATTTGTTTTTTAAATAACAAAAAAAGTAAGTGTATATAATTTTTCTTTAAAGTTTTGTTGTAGCATAAAAATATCATTATACTCTCTATACATTAATGTTTTAATGAATTTAAAATTAATATGATTTTTTATAATATTTGGATACAGGTAAATATTAAAATGTTGAATGTTTTTTATTTGGAATAAACTTTTGTTAAATTCAATCTATGTTGATTGGTAAGAAATATGTTCGAAGTATGTAATATTTAAATTTTGAAGTTAAAATATTTTTCATTACATTACTCGTTAAATTAATCGTGCTCACAAGTTTATCTATTCTTCGTAAAAAAACGGTGTAATTGCGATAAGAAATAGTGAATTTTAGGGGCAATTTTGTGATATTTTTTTGTAGATTTTTTTTTATAAATTCTAGTTTTAACTATGATAAACCCTTACCCAATGACAAAATATAATTTAGTTTTATTATTTTTATTTAAAACTTATTTGGACGTTATTTCTTGCTACAAAACTAATTAAGGATAGTCATTTGTGTACTCTTTTTTACGGAACTGTTGAACGAACCGTATTTTGAGATGATGCGTCATAAGCTCCACAAAAATGGAATACAAGATGCAAACTAGACTTAACGGAAAACTTTGATCAAAATGAGGTAGGAGGATACATCCTAAACTTGTTTGAACGTTTTTTAGAATTAATAACTATATCTATTACACACCAATACACCAATATCTATTACATAAACATGTTTTATGTGTTTACACTAACACAATTCGTGTTAGTGTAAACACTTAAAACATATATGTAACTAGAAAAATATTGTAACGAAAGCAAATTTAGTTTACCACTTAATTAGTTTCTCTTTCCAGTTTGGACTTTATTTTTATTGTAATTATATAAAGTACTAACTTTTTGCTAGCGGCTTCAACAGCGTACTTTAATCCCTAAGGAACTGTAAAGTAGAATAAAATGTAGCTATTTCTTAATCCAGGTTTACATTTATCCAAATTTAATCAAAATCTGTAAAGTAGTTTTTGCGAAAAAAAGAGTAACAAACATACATATACACACACATTTTCACGTTTATAATATCATAGTAGGATTTGTCTATGACTGTAAGAATGCGGTATTCTCTTGTAGATATATTGTACATTAGTCATTCCATTCACATGCACAGCTCGTAGTGAACATAGCAATTCCTTATATAGTAAGCTAAAGGTAACGTTAAGACTTTCGTAATAAAAGTGTGATTGTGAATCATTGTAGCCGAATTAAACAGGTAATACGCATGATCCTTTTTTAAAATTAACATAAATAATAAAAGCAGTTACTGTAAATGAAAAAAAACACGTAAATTGGTTAAATAAATGTTAAGTGTGTACAAAGTTCACATTTGCGGTAAACTAAATATTTTCTTTATGAATGGCTCTCTTTGTATGTTAATCAGAATTCTGTAGGAGACGAAATGTGATTGATATATCATTTGTATTTGTTAGTTTTCCTACTTGGTATATTAGGTGTCATTGACTAACTTAGGTGACAATATTGTTATTTATATTCAATATAGAAAATAAGTTTTAAGCTTTACATGTATAAAAAATCGATAAACTTTAAACGCTTACATTATTTTGAATAATGGCCCGATTTTTCGCCTGCCTTTAGAACGGCCCCCTAATTGTCTAATTTTAAATCTATTGCAATCGCTTTCAGTTTGAAAGGTGTTGTATAACCATTGCTTGTTTCTGAGGACAGTTAAAAAAAAGTATTTGTATTATGCAGCAACATCTTTCAAACTGAAAGCGATTGCAATAGATTTAAAATTAGACAATTAGGGGGCGGGTTTTTCATTGTCTTTAGTCTGTTGATTTTGTGTCTATGATTATAAATTCATAATACGGAGAGTTATACTATTTAACTTAAGTATGATCTGAGCAATGTACATGAAGTTTTTCAATATTAAATTTATTTATTTTATCATTTGTATAAAGTCTGACTTGCAGATTTCTATGCGCAAATTATACGTAAATCCACTTCAAATCGAGGGGAAATCGAACTAACTATATCACCATCACCCTATTCATACAGTGCAATGCCTTTATCTTACCACGCGGGCCCACTGCGGATTGGTGAATGAACTAACGATACTTACATTTTAAATGGTGTTGATGCATATATTTTACAAAGTCATAAGGATTTCACACACACACACAGACGAAAAATTATTATAAACCAGGAAAGAACAGGAATACGAAATCAATCTCAATTTTATTATCAGAAACTATTGTACAATGATATACAATGTAATATAGTAGTTATACTATGACAATAATAGTAACTGATTTCATAACCACCTGTGTCCATAAATGTTCGATGACGGAATCTAGACAGAGTTCAATTTGTGTATCGCTCGTTTGAAATCATATCGCCATAAGTCACTCTTTTGATTTCTAAGTCATGTGTGGATTTTTTTAAATAATTTTAAATCGATTAAACGAAACAATGAACTATATTCTTTCGGTATCGGATTATATTTAGTAACTACGAGTGTAATAGAAAAAAGAATAACTTAGTAGAATCTCGACTTTCGTGTCTTTTTTATATATTTTTATAAGACAAGAATACATTTGGAAATAATTTAAAAACAAACTGATATGGCGTAGTTGTTTATTCTATCACTTCCCAGAACCAATTGTTTAGTAGGTGGTATATCATAATACTTAAATATTTCTATATAATGAAATTTAGGAGTATAAGAGACAGGATAAGCAATAGACGCGTGATATATGGTATGGAAATAAGTCCCTTAAATGACAATCTGTTTATGGTTAATTTGCTCTCTTTTAATTTGTATGTTTTTATCCTTATTATACCTTCTCTTTAATGAAGTTCGTGTTTAAAAAATAACGAAAATGTTATTTATTCAAACATAAGTGAAAATCAAAATATGAATATTAAAATTGAAAAAGGTGCTTCAACTTTTGAATCGACCAACATTTTTTGCATACTTAATATATATACATTTTCAATTATAACTAAGTAACTTTATAATTCACATGCTATATTAAGTTACTTATATCTTTTTATATTATGAATACTAATAAAAAGAGGAAATATTTGTTTGTTTGCATTGAAGAGGTTCGGAAAGTACTGGACCTATTTTAAAAATTGATTCACGTATGGGTAGCTAAATTGAATAATGTTCTGATTTCAGATGGGCGAGAAGTTGTTGTTTTTAGCACCAGTGGTGCTTCTTGCGTTCTTCGGTCTTGGAGTAGATGGTAAGTTTTGGAGGCGTTAAGGTTTAAGACGTCCATATATCAGTACGCACGCACCGGCCGTACGACACGCATCGGATTATATTAAAAATTCTTATGACGCTATCAACATAATTCCGATGTGAAAGTTTACACTCGCATTTTTCATAGAAATATCTATGAAAAATGTGACTGCAGTGGACGTATGACATCGACAAATCCGTGCAATGTGTTACGTGTCGTGCGGCTGTGTGAGGTACGTGCGTGCTGAGGCAGTAGACGAGCACCTTGTGACGAGCACCTTTAATAATCGCTAACGTACATATTTTTACAAGCTTTTATATAACTTACTATGTTTGTTACTTTGTTAGTATGGGGACAAATACACATAAACGTGGGTCAAATCCTGCAAGCTAAATGCATACTTCGTTTTTCGATTTAGAAAATGGTCCAAATAAATATGTCTAGAAACTTTTAAGGTAAACATCAAATTAAAATTTATAATGACTCATCATAAAGCTGTCTGTTATAGTTTCGCTAAGTCGTTAAAATTGAGAAACTGTTTATTAAAATGTCGAGATAATAATGCTTTAGATTGAATCATCATTTTAATTAATTACTATTGATACCTTATCCGTTTTCTAAGTAGGTGTGAAACTGCGTTTTACCTAACAATAATACACTAAGCTTTACTGGCTTGTTAAATATTGAACTATGTTGAAAGATATTTTTTTTTATCTTGGTAACTGGAAAAACTTCAAAACAAAACAGTGCCAAGCTAATTTTTTCCTAAGATAAAATCAATGTTTGTTACACTATGCTACTTAATGTAAGAAGGACCAAATCAATTGGTGATCTTACCTTTTTAGGCTACACGCACTGGTAAGTTTTTGTGATCATGACTCTTTGTCATCTGTCACCGTGTTTAAGAGTCTTTTCGGTGGAGCATGCCCTACACGTGACAATTTGTGGACTTTCATAATAAAGACAGGAGAACGGCGACAGAAACAATATATCGCGATAGTAATCACTACGTACTGACATATTGAGATCATGATCTTTTTCCTCCTTCAAACTGACATTATATGAAATTTTATAAGGGCGTTACATCTCGTTAAATCTCATTTTCAAAGTATAATAATCTTCAGTTTTCAAGTGCTTGAGATGGGATTCGTATCCCGAAAATTCTCTTCTGAAGCACCTGAGGACTTGAGCAATTTTTTCGAAAATTTATTGTCTAACAGAAGTAACAGCTGACACTATCATTGACTCCCAAATACTCTGCACAAGAATTTGGGATATACTTCATAATTTAAATTGATTAATTAGTGAAGTGAACTCGAGATCTATCAAATAAAAAATTTCAATTAGAGATTCATGTTAATTTTCATTATTTGGTATTGTTAACGACAAGTTAGATAAGTTATGATTGACCACGCGGAATCGTCACACTACCCACACAAATCATGCATAATTTATCTATAACAAACAATCGCTAAGAAGAAGGTCAGACTACCGATCGATGGTTATTTTACAAGGACACGATGTTCGATTCGCAGCAACGTGATGGTGGGTGGATGTTTGTTTACAAGGAAATAAAGAAATTATGTAATGGTCTATAAAGGAAGTTGGCGATGTGCCATCTTTAGGGGATTATTGCTTACATTGTCCCTAAACTTTATGAAATTTGTATCGAGAAATAACCTGATAGAGAAATTTTGTTTGTCCTTATTTCATTAACTCGAGAGTGACAACTTTTTGAATAAAAAAATACTAAGAGTTATCTTATTATAAGTGTGATGGTTTATGTTATGATTTTTCTATGGAAACTGTTACAAGTTAATTTTTACCACAATAACTTTTAGTTACATGATATGCCTGTCAAATCATTAAATCTGTATAGTACCAATAAAAAAAAAAACAAACAATTCAATAAACAGTTTAAAACTAACTATAATCTATATCTCTAATCCGACTTACATTATGCACTAAAAAGGTATGGTTCTCGACAATATAATCCCGTTTTGTTCCTTCTAACAAGGACATAAGGTCCAGTGTAGGAGTGATTTACATTCACGAGTTGTTACCAAGGTCCTAATCATTGTTTTGGCTTCGCACGTTTTTTCTATCTTGATGATACAATTATGTATTTAGATTATGTGAATGTGGGCGTGGTTTATTATATTTATTTGCTCGAAGTCTGAATAAGTGTTTTGCTTATAAATTATATTCAAAGATCCAAGTTTATTTCAATTCTAAACCTACGCATTTAACAGATGATGATTGCGACCTAGCAATATGCGATTATAATGTCAACAAGTGATGAAGTCGCGTCCTTTGATTATTTAGAATTGTGTAATGCAGTAATAGTAGTTTATGCAACTGTCATACATATAAGAAGGGGTATTAAAACACGAGAGTCGGTTTATCACATGAAGCGAATGCGATAAAAGATTGACTCGAGTGTTTTAATACCTAAATTATATGAAGTTTCATACACTACTTTATCTTCACTCATATTTTAATCACTTACAGGATTTTAATAAACTTTTTTGGAATCCCGAATACAAAACTATTCGGGATTCCAAAAAAGTGCGCCATTTTTTCACAGTTCGAAGTGCGCATGCGTGCGCCTATTTTTTAATATTCAGCCTAAAATCATAGACTAGTTTAATGATTAAAAAAGATAGCGGTACTATTAATGAGTTTTATTTTAAATTTTATAAATATGCGTTTATAAAGTGGGTACGTAGAGAATCGTCTTTGAATTCATAATTCGAATTTTTCGATTTAATTGTAGATAAACAAATAATAACGTTAGTGAAAAAAAAAGAAACTAGTTAATATTGATCGGTCTATTATACACAGTGGGCTACATTTCGTTATCTATATATTTTTTCACTACAAACAATTCAGATCCTTTATTAGGATTAAAAGTATTTAAAGTCCCTAGTAGAATTAATTATATCTTCAACATAAATATACATAATTATACGATACTTAAAAACTTTCGTTTTCATCAGTTGACTATATATTCATATTAGAGTTATAGTTATTTGATAACGATTCCGTATATAACTATAACAAAATATCTATTATACCCATTTTAGTCAAACTTTGAGTCCAGATTGCTTTGATTTCTGTTTTTATAAGAGGAATTTAATTTATCATTGTCCTAGCCGTGAAAACTTTTTATTCGATTCTTAAAAAATCCGTAAAGTTCACATTAATTATATCGAGTGTTATTTTTTCAGCACAACGATACTACAATTATTACCCCCGGAGTTACTATGGTCGTAACCTTTACGAACATGGTCGCTCTATCTCCGATAATACTGTGTCATGTGGGCCCCATACTTGCGGCGTTGGTGCTCATTGTACCCACGGCAGTGTGAGACCTGTGTGCGCTTGCCTGCCTGGATATTCTGGAGACCCACTATCGCAATGCATCAAAATCGAGTGCCTCGGTAAGTGAAAGCTATTTGTTTTTAAATTTAACAGCATTAGAATCGGTTTGCTATAAAGAGCTATACATTTTCTGTCTTTTGTATCAAGATTTTAGATTAAAAATTTGTAATTATATTATAGATCGTTTCGTTAATTAATTTACTTCTTCTGTAAGCACCGTTTCAGCTTATTTATTGTCAGATAAAATGAGACTTGCTTCTTATTTTCAAAAACTAAATGTACCTTATTTTCCAATAAATTACCAAATACGTATTGTTCTACAATAAAGATGATGACTAATTGTTATTTGTCTGTCCGTCAAGTAGATTGTTGAAGAATATTGTGTTTTTTATTTTTTTGCGTAATCAATAAATTACTGTGATATATCGACGTTACGCCTTTGTACATTTTCTAAGTAGTTGTGATGTAGCGAGCCCCCATTCGTTTAATGCCTAATATCTTAACAATTTCTTGTTAAATCGAAGCACAAAAAAGTCTTATGTTTTTCTATTATCGAATTGACGGATTAAATAGAATTTCTTTTTTTTTTATCCAGTCATGATCCCTATCAGAATGTATTATCTGGCACATTGTAACGAGACAAAACTGAATTTTCATTAAATACAAAACTGTCCAAATATATTTATTTAAAATATGCAACGTTTTTCGTGCTCTGCAGATAACAGTGAATGCCGAAGTCATCAAACTTGCGTAAACCAGCACTGCGTTAACCCTTGCGAAGGAACTTGCGGTGTGAACGCCAACTGTGATGTAAGTAAATTCAATATTTCTTCCGTCTAGGTGTTAAGCACATGTGAAAATCGAAAACTATGTTATCGGTTCACATATGTACAGCGGGAGACCGTGTAGTGAGAAGAACCGGCGAGATAATCAGCTAGGATTCCTTTTTTCTCTTGTTTTATATAATGTTCAGAAGTCCAATTGGAAAATAACTCCTTTAAACTATGAAATCACATTTCAGATATTTTTGCGGTAATTGATTAAAATGACGCGTAATACATAATTTTATTTAATTAACAATGTTAATTAAACAGTATTAAGGAATAATGATAATTTTGAGTCCCATAAATCTCTCAACAAATCGACAACTGAACATGCGAGTTCTAGACTGGAGACTAATACTCGACAATTGAAGTATAAGACGCCGTGCAGCTAGGTGAAGATTTCAGGATGGTAATGAATAGGAGTTGGACGAGGGTAACTCATATTAAAGAAAATTTTAAATTTGTATGGCCAACAGTAGATCGTTGCAAACTGATAATAATGCTGAACAATTTTTTATTACAGGTACGCAACCACATTCCCGTGTGCACGTGCCCTGCTGGATACACCGGCAATCCTTTCTCTTCATGTAGAATTGCCGATCCTGGTAATTGAACCGTTCACTCATATTACTGTTAATTTATATAATTATTTGATGTATCGCATATTTATTTAAAAAATATTTCCATCTTCAGAGGAAGCTTGCCATCCGTCGCCTTGTGGTGCTAATACTAAATGCCATGTTGCTAACAACCAGGCTATATGTACCTGCCTGCCTGGATACAGGGTAAATAGTTTTGATTATTAAAACTTCGTTTTAACTATGGCCCACTAGATCATTTAAATCAATAATGGGGTTTAATAGGGCATATTTTGAAATAATATTCTTAGAAGATTGAATAAAGAAGAATAAGATTAAATAAATAAATTTTATACCTAAGCTACCATCATTACCATGCAGTTGAATGGAGAATATTGCAAGTTTGTTCCATTTACCTTAAGCAATTATCCTCACTGACTTATATACAATTCTATTTTAATTTATCACAGAAAAAACTTTCATCTTTAAAGAAATAGCATATTGCGCGAGTAAAATGTAGTAGATAAATGTAGCGAGTAGAGAAAAACTATGATACGAGTATAAAAAGATCATGAAAAATTATCCAGCTGGTCTTGAGTAATGTGAATCTTGAGTTATGTAACTAACGTGATTCAATTTATTTTACGATATAGATGAAACTACATGGATTAATTCTGATTTACAGGGTAGCCCTCTGGCTGGATGTCGTCATGAATGTGAGTCTGACGGCGAGTGCGGAGCGCAGCAGTCGTGCCGCGACTTCAAATGTGTCAGCCCTTGCAGTGACTGCGGCGTCAATGCTGATTGTGAGACAGTCGCAGCTCATCGCGCTATCTGCAAATGCCCAAGGGTGAGAGGAACAGTTTTATCAACTTACAAAAATGATAGACATAAAAGTATATGCGAGAAAGTTTTATCAATTGCTCTAAATAGCTGCTGCAATTTTTAAGGATAATTATAATACATTATAACAAAAAAAACTTGGTAATAAAGTATTAATATGTAGATCAGATTACATTAAAATTCTGCATTCAATTTTGAAATCTATTTCTAAAGCTACAAACCACATGGAAAAAAATAACAGTTTTGTTTTTGTAACTGTATTTGTAGATCATCAAGCTATGTTGCCTTCATTTTTGCTCATTGTAAAATCCCAATCAGAGTGATATAAAATATTTAGGTCTGTATAACGGTTATAGTGGTCAGTTATACAGTATACCGAAGCCGCATTGTCAATGTATGTTTTTTTTTTATAAATAAAAGAAAGAAAACAAAGTTTACTTTTCCTTTGCTCAAATATGTGTTTATTTTTATAGGGCTACCATGGCGACCCTTACAGGATCTGTTCCCCTGAATGTAGTTCAGATGGTGAGTGTCCCAGCTATAAGCCGGCATGCGTGTACAACGCCTGCATCGATCCCTGCGTCAACTCCTGTGGCGTCAACGCCGAGTGTCACCTCCGTGGTCTGACACCTGTGTGCTCCTGCCCACGGAACATGACCGGAGATCCCTTCACTTTCTGCAGGCCTTTTGAAGCTCGTGAGTCTTAACATATTCTTTTCTTTCTAAGGTGCAAAATGCAGTCTTTATTTTGCCATCCATGTCAGAGATCACTTATTTATTGGTCATATGTATTGATCATATTAATATTAGTCCCAATAATTTGGGGGGATAGCATTTTCTATATACCTTGAAGAAGTCTACTCATTTGGAAAATGTGCTGTACTTTTCAAAATAGTTAAATTGATGCTACCAATTTAAATGAAGATCCTTTTTTAATGTGTGTACTTTATGAATACGTTTATATGTATCTTTTCGCCATCAGGTGATCTCTGCGAACCAAATCCATGTGGAACTAATGCTAAGTGTACTCCTGGTCATGATCGTACCGGAGCCGAGCGTCCTGTCTGTACCTGCCCTACTGGTTATATCGGAAATGCGCTTGTTGCTTGTGATAAGGTAAGACAGATATTTGTTAAACATCATATCTAGTATTTTATATTGCGTCAATATATGAATGAAAAGAGTAAAGAACATCGAGCAGACGTAAGAAGGAATGTAGGGACCTTGGTTTCTGCTTCTACCTCTCTACCTAAACGACTGGGAATTAGGCGTAAAGATATAGATAGAAACGTAGTGTTACTACAAATAAGACTTGGCACTGATGATATGGATTTACAATATTTTTCGAACTGTACTCGTACTATATACATAACGAAATTTAGCTTTTACAGTATCTTTAAGATTTTAGCTTCCATTGTTTTACATGCCATTTAGTTTGTTGTGTTTGTGTTTTTTAAATGTTAGAACATGATGTCCAACCATCTTTTAGTCCATTCAAGCATTTTAAAAAAATATTTTAAATAATTAAGAATGAATCCATACCTAAAAAAAATTCGAATTACACGAAATTATTAAAAATAAAACTTGAATACCATTATTCTGTGAAATCTCTCAATATCGGGCCCCGAATGCATAGTGATATTTGCAAGTTGTTAGTTTTTACTTTAAAAGTTCTTGTTTGTAAAAACAAACATGATTTTTTTTAAGATATTTGCAATTACTTGATCAAGAAAAATGTTCTGTTTTATAGTAAAATGAATAAGTACTATAGTTTGCATTTATTTTAAAGCACTGACCGCCTAAAACAAATTCACAATGACAGAAGAGAAAATCCCAAAAATTTGAGACGTGTTGACTTATTTTGGTCGGATGATAGTTTAAACCTGGTATTAAACTTAGTTCTCGTTTTGTTATTTAAAAGACGGTATAAGTTCACATGTTGGCCTAATCACAACTTGATTTATACACCTTCATAATGTTATTTCTGATACTAACATTATATAACTGTACAGCTGTTACAATTGTTTTATCGTTTATATGGTGAACAGGGCGAATGCGAATTGGACGCTCAGTGCGCGGATCACTTGGCGTGTGTGGGATACCAGTGCGTGGATCCGTGCCTCGGCAATACACAGTGCGGATCCGGAGCAGTCTGTATGGCGCGCAGGCATCTTGCCGTCTGCACATGCCCCACAGGTAACACATCTGAAGAATGACCGGTTCTCTGAGGGATCCATTCCCGGAAAAGGCTTGAACTTCTTAACAGCGGGTACATTAATAGGTTGATAATGAAATATCTCTTTTTTATTGCAAAACTAGTGTTATTCTTTTTTATTGCAAAACTAGCGGAAGAAGACCGTCACCCTTGTTGATTCTATCTTCGTGGTTTGTTGGAGACCATGAAATGCTCAGATACATGAAATCTTCCGAAAGCAAGTGGCACCTGCAATGCGCTATTGGTCAATATTAGATACCTATCAAATAATTCCCTTGTGTTCATTGAAAAACCCGCTGTGCTAATACTGTCAGGATCTCCCAAGAATGTCTATCTTGGGTCTTTTTCCTGACTGATTTTATGAACTACAGGCGAGGGGCGCAGCAGTATAGGCTATCCTTGAAGTGAGCTACGGTGGGCATTGGGAAATTTTTCACTTACTTCATATTCTGAAGTGCAATATACGCTACGCTTAATCTTCAATCAATAATATCTGAATTCATAAATTAGTTGAACGATTAAATTATTCAAATTGTATTTCGATTTGTTATTGTCTTTCTTTCGAATTTATAATTACTAACAGTAGTAAGAAAAGAAAGTAGGTAGATTGTAATTTTTTTTTGTCATTTCAGGTCATAACGGCGATGCCCTTGTTAATTGCTACGAATCTCGTTCAGTAGCTGCTACCACTCGATATTACAGATATAAGAGGAACGGTGATTCAGTTTCGGAAGAGACCAAGGCAGAGGAAGAAGCGAAAGCCGTAGAAGAAACTAAGACCCCAGAAGAGAAGGTCGAAGAAGTTGCAGCTTAAATAAACCACGGATTTTTTTTCTTGGCGTTTTTCGATTACAGCGCAACAAGGGTATTAATGAAAACAGCATAGAGTTTATTTTGGCAGTTCTGTCAGTGGCATTTAGATCCTTGTTGAACTGTAATTAACATAAAAGAGAATGTATTAATAATAATTTGAACTCGCCCAGTCTGGAAAAAGTAATTGTTTAAATAAACGAATGTACGATTGTGAATGTGACGTAGTAACTAACGATCAACAATATAAAAAATGAAAACACTGAAGGAATCGCCTAATTATCATTTTGAATATCGGTCATTTCTTAATGTGTTATTAAAAAAAACTGCCATATTTTTCTAATGAAATATTGTATTGTGATTATTATGCAACTTTTAATGTTATAGAATTTTTAACAAGAATTATTATTTTTTTATAAATTGAGTTTTATTTATTTTTGGTTGCGTTGTAAAGACCTTGTTTAATTTGGCTTTGGCTATTTTGGAAAAACAATTTTTTGATTAGCTCCTATCTATTGATCTGTACATTGACATTACACAAAGCTTTCAAGCGGATTTTCCCATCTTTACCCTATAGGAGGTATTGGCCATATTAGTATAACAGGGCCCTTAAGACTCACAGAGTACTAAAATGAAATTGAAAACTTTTCGCGGATTAATTACATTTACACGTAATTGTTTAAACTTCTATTAGGGTTTTATGATGACTTAAAGCTCCAATGAATGTTCTAAATTTAAAACTTTGTATCGATAATGTTGCTTTGAATTTATTTCAAATCGAATACTTTTGCTGATTCAATCGAATACTCTTGCTGATTTGACGTGAAATGACTTTTGATTTGACTAATATATATTTTCGAAATGTATGACCATAATATTTTTTAATAATAATAAAACCTTTTATTTTATTCAAAATATTAGATTTAAAATGATGACTTCAGTTTAGTTGTTTGGTTTAAGCCATTGGTCGGCAAAATCAAATTGAAAATTACAGAAGAGAAAACGAGATGTTGAGATGTGTCGACTTATTTTGGTCGTATAATGGTTTAAACCTAGTACCAAAGTTAGTCTTCGTTTTATAATGTCTTAGCGAATGATTATATGAATGATAATGATAATATGTCTCATATACTTATGTCTTAGCTAGCTAGCTGTCTTCCTGCAAGTTCGTCCGCGTTATTAATAGCCTATTACAGAAAGAATTTAAAAAATCTGTCCAGTAGTTTAGGAGCCTTTCCTCTTTATAATGTTAGTGGAAATATTATATCCTTGTTTAAATAATAATAATTATCCAAATCTTTGATAGAAATCAAGTGTTGCAACTTTAGATTTTCGTGAAACAAAAGGATTGTGTATATCAATCAGTCAATCAATCAAAATCATTTATTCAGTCTTGGATTTTATAAGCACTTGACGGCGGGAGACCTGGTACCGAGAAGAACCGGCAAGAAACGTTCTTACCGGTTCTTCTATTTCATACTACTACTACATACATCAAAAAAGCTCACCGATGTATGATCTTAAAACACTAATGTATAATAAAATAAAATAAACAAGAACCACTACCGACGCCACCGCCGAGACTTTAAAGAGACAGACATACTCTATTATAGGTACAAAATAGAATGGTAGCTTTACTTCATTTACAATTTTAATTTCAATATTCATTTAATAGTTTATTTTATATTGACAAATATGTACAAGTAGTATTACATATTCATTGAACAAATATTAGATAGAATTGACATGACCATAAAGATATATTATACCCATAACTTTCGATAATTTTCAATTAAAATACAAATAAAACGCCCACTACAAATCGATGCAATTGTTAAATTAATTAATACTGATTTACAAGATAAAAATGTTAATGTAATGCACTTGGATGACCGAGCTTTTATTTTACTACTTAGTAAAAATTAAATCTAGCTCCCGCTCCCGAAACTCCCCTGCATATTAAAATTTCCTGAAAATCGCTGGAGCCGTCCTTTCTCGTATTAAAATTCTATATAACGAAATCCTACTAGAACCGAGCGGCAATTTTAAATGCAATCACATTTGCTGTATGATCTCAAAGTATTTTTGACATCGGCTCAATAAAGGCAACTGTAGATTGAAGAAATTGACAATTTCAGTATAAATTTAATCTTTAAATATCAGACAACATCACATACATTTCTCAAAGCCCCCGTACCACAACACTCAGTCCCGAGACAATATAGAAAAAATATTTTTCTATTATTACCTGACAGCGAATCAAACTTTGGATCTGACAACCCGACGTGCGAACCACTATTCTCGTTATATAATCATCAAAATATTCTCTTTTCATTCTAAACTGAATAAAAAACCGAACTAGGGACCTTATTGTTTAATTATGATATCATTTCAATTTGGCATTTGAAAGATATTCACAAAAGCGACGTCTTTTAAAAATATTTAATAAAATGACGATAATTGGAATTTTCTAAGCGAAGCGAATAATGCTTTAAAGTTTGCTTAAAATGCTTGCTTAAAATGCAAACGAAAGAGTTTAATGCTAACTGCAAGCCTTCGATGGATTTAACTAAGTTTTTATTATGTTTATTGATCATTCAAATCATCATTCGTTTCAAAAGCGATGGCAACTTTAAGAGTTACATAATTCTTATTATATTTGATTAATTTTGCATTGACAACGCTATACTGAAAAATATTCTTAATACAAAATGCTTTAAAAATCCACCTTGTCCCTGGCATTCTGAGATGGGATTTGAAACCATAGTCTTTAACATTCCAGGCGACTGCTCTAACCACTGAGCTACCCAAGACCTGACAGGTCTGACGAATTTTTCGAGCATTTGTCATTTCCGCTACTACATCGCAATCGCTAAATGTTTGAATGGGATTACACTAAATTTCAGATGATATTCTTTAACATCGGTGATTAAGATGCACTTCAGTTCGCTGAATCGGCGAAGTAAGTATTCTCTTTTTACAATCTTTTATAATGAATGCAATAGGTAAAATGTGGTATATTCATTTTGATAAATTGAAACAAATACACTTCGTCGTTACTTCAAAAAGTACAGGCATTTGTTGCAATAAAGTTGCAGATATAATTTTTCTAGAAACTTCTACTGTCTAAAAGACAAACGGTGCTAGTTAAGTTCATTCGTTAATTTAATAGAACTATTTTGAATGGATGTAGCGCGTTTATATTTGATTTCATGAAGTCAAACTTTTTACTTTTACTTTTAATTTTTAAAACCTTTTACAGGTTCCGTGTTCACTTATGACTAATATTTTTCTAATTATCATTGCCTTCAAAACAATACTATTGGACACATTCATAATTCATTCTTTTTAATAATTTAATGAAAATGTTTAATTTATTATTACAAAATGTTTGACTTATTTAATTTATTGGTGGTTTATTTACCCCAACTACTGTAAACTACCAGCACTTCCAAATTTGGGAGTCTTGTCGCATGGTTGGTCAAGGTCCGTTCATCCGATTTGATTCCATTCTTTCCATAGGGAAGGCATGTACCCCAGCAATGGGGACAATAACAGGCTGATTTTGAAATGGTCATTTAATAATTTCCGATTACTATTGTATTTCTTCTGAATGCATACATTTAAGAAATAGTTAATTTCACCTTCGTTATAATCTTATTCTAACGCTTGTCTATCTCAACAGTTTTGGGTGCGGTACAAAAGGTCACTAAGTAGGTCAATCTGTTTAAAGGTCGCCCAATCCAGATTCTGGCCTTATTGCAAATCAATAGCTATTGATATTTATTGCATTTGCTATGCAAATATGCGGATGCAGTTAATTCAAATTGTAATTTATTGTGGTGTCGGATTAAATCGGATCAGTAGGCCGATATCTCATTCGGTTGTCGAATGATAACGTTAATAAAATGAACAGATCTACATTAATTAATACCTAAAATGCGGATCGTAACTTATTTATGAGTTTGTTGAATTCACATAAATATTTGTGTTTGAAAATAGATTTGCAGTTAAAACGGATAATGATGGAGTCGCTTCTTCCTGATATATAGTTAAACACAGGAAATATAACGCGTTGTGAATCCTAAAAGCCTACGGTTACATTCATAAAATCAAGTGCATTAATTACGTTTTTTGCAACTGTTTGTATTCTTGTTTCAATTCAGGTTTTCAGAGATTGTTTTTTACATAGGCAGTTAGTATATTCCTTTAGTGCAAATAGTGTTTTTATGAGGCTATACTACAGCAGCATAATAATAGTAGATAGGTAGGTATAAATCCGGGTCTATGCTGAGCAAGAACTTAATGTTAGATACTCATCAATATTTTCAAATTTAATGAGGCATTTCTTTAATTACAGTTCCGTTCACATTGCAGTGTTTTGTTTCTCTTTAGCATTTATTGATTCGCTTTTGGTCTTAAGAGACCTAAACTCCTGTCTGAACTCTAATTTCTGTAATCATAATTCATATTATATATCCAACTAGAAAGAATATGAATAGTAATAATAGTTCATCATGAGTCAAGGAATCATTGACTATGAAAAAGTAAAATTTCTCTTCAAATTTAAGTATTACCATTATCTAAATTTTGAGTAATTATTCCATTATCTAATTTTAATAAATCATTGTTCCCTTTCCATTTTTAGTCGTTCTCATATTTATAAGTTATTGTTTTTTTACATTTTAAATAGTTAAACATTTTCTGCAAACTGCAAACATCAATCTGATCCAAATCTTTTTTATGCTTTGGTGACTGCTACGATAATTAGAAATATATAAGAAGTGCAACATAAAATATATATAATTATACGTGTCGTTGCAGTAAGATACAGACGCAATAAAGTAATGAAGCTTTGTAATTATATCGAGATAAATTACTAACGCCCTGTAACATTCGCACTCTTACTGTGTCATACATGATTATTTAAAGCGTTGCGTGTACATTGCCTGCTTTAGTTAGCTATAAATACTCCTAAAACCGGGTATCTGATTTTCTAATTTGCATAATTCATTATTATCATTACCATCCACATAACCGTCATTATTATTTTAATTACACTGGTAAACAGTATTTTTGTTAAACAAAATCAAGTCGGTTTTTTTAACACTACTACCTATACGCATATAAACCTCATACTTAGTTTTGTCCAATCACCCTCAGTTTTCGTTAAACACAAACTAAATTGATTACGCGAATTTTGCTTACCCACGTATGTTTCCGACAAATTAATATTGAATT